ACATGCGTGTGTGTAGATGTGCTTACAGACTACTGTAGTAGCTCTACATGCGTGTGTGTAGATGTGCTTACAGACTACTGTAGTAGCTCTACATACGCGTGTGTGTGTAGATGTGCTTACAGACTACTATAGTAGCTCTACATGCGTGTGTGTAGATGTGCTTACAGACTACTGTAGTAGCTCTACATGTGTGTGTGTGTAAATGTGCTTACAGACTACTGTAGTAGCTCTACATGTGTGTGTAGATGTGCTTACAGACTACTGTAGTAGCTCTACATGTGTGTGTAGATGTGCTTACAGACTACTGTAGTAGCTCTACATGTGTGTGTAGATGTACTTACAGACTACTGTAGTAGCTCTACATGTGTGTGTGTAAATGTGCTTACAGACTACTGTAGTAGCTCTACATGTGTGTGTAAATGTGCTTACAGACTACTGTAGTAGCTCTACATGTGTGTAGATGTGCTTACAGACTACTGTAGTAGCTCTACATGTGTGTAGATGTGCTTACAGACTACTGTAGTAGCTCTACATGTGTGTGTGTGTGTGTGTGTGTAGATGTGCTTACAGACTACTGTAGTAGCTCTACATGTGTGTGCGTAGATGTGCTTAAACACTACTGTAGTAGCTCTAAATGTGTATGTAGATATGTTTACAGACTACTGGAGTTGCTCTACATGTGTGTGTGTAGATGTGCTTACATACTACTGTAGTAGCTCTAGATGTGCTTACAGACTACTGTAGTAGCTCTACATGTGTGTGTAGATGTGCTTACAGACTACTGTAGTAGCTCTACATGTGTGTGTGTAGATGTGCTTACAGACTACTGTAGTAGCTCTAGATGTGTTACAGACTACTGTACAAGCTCTATATGTGTGTGTGTAGATGTGCTTACAGACTACTGTAATAGCTCAAAATTATGTATAGAGGTGTTTACAGACTATTGTAGTAGCTCTAAATGTTTTTACAGATAATATTATTAGCTCTAAACATATGTATAAATGTGCTTATAGACTACTGTAGTAATTAAATGTGTGTAGATGTATTTACACACCACAATAGTAGCTACCTCTAATATACAATTTCATACCAGAATTTTAAGGATCACTGCAGAAATCAACAAACAACTGTAGAACATAAGATTGCTTGACCAACCAAATGCTGGAGTAACATGTACAATTTTATATAAACAGATCATGCGTGTGGTTAACAGTGGTTAATGGCAGAAATTATGTAGGCTCTTATGTATCTTCTAGTCACATGGTACTTTAACAAAAAGATGACCAGCAATTTCTTTACATAGTGGATCAAGGCTTACAACAAACACATGAAAACCAACAGCTAAAAAGTTTTTTTTTTTATCTGTCAACAATGCTCCTTCACATTTTCAAACAGGACCTATTGAATGTTCATTTAGTATTTTTCCCAGAAAATATTACAGAAGTCTTGCAGCTCTCTACCAGTTGTGTGTATTATCAAAGTGATGAAATGTCATTACTGTCCTAACCAGATATGACAAGGTCAGTGATGTCAGTCAGTTAGTCAAAACTATCTCTATCTTGGAGGCTTGTCACTGGGTCTATGAAGTGGTGAAGGAGATCAAAACCTCCACAGTGAAGATATGCTTTGCAGCAACAGGTTTTCTCACCTCTATTGCCAAAGATATGAATAAAGACAACATTCCATTACTGCAACTGTAGAAATTGCTTAGAGGTGCCAAAAACCAATTGAAAGTTGATGAGTAGTCTACAGAAGAGTACACCCACCTCAACTGATGTCAGTGCCAAAGAATATGAAGACTGTCAGGGTGATTTTGACAAAATTGCTAATGCAATTCTTTAGTTCATAGTCTCCACACAGCCTAGTAACTCAAGTAACCAACCAATAAAACCTCAACTAACATCAGATAATGACACAGCAGATAAAGCTACCATCAAGAACACTGCCAAAGCAATGAAATAGTCAAATGAACGTGTTTCTTTTTGCAGAGAAGGTCTGAATAACTTGTCTGAATTAATGGCAAACATTGTAGAATCTTTGCAAGATACTGTAGTTTTCAGCTATTTTAATCCACTGCCTTAAACTGAAATGTCCTGGAATTTATAAATGCCCATTTCTATGGTATCAAATTACTTTTTTCTTCATTTATATGAACATGTATACCAGTAATGTAAGGACAAATGTCTTTAAATGTTGTACACTGTATACATTCATGCATGCCATCAGTTTTCAATAAAGAGTTACATGCACATATGAAATAAAAACAACAAAGAGTAAAGAGAATATAAATGCATTTCTGTATTTATTCATAATGTATTTATGCAAAAAGTATAAAAAAAAAAAGGGAAAGAAACGGGGTTCTAAAAAGATTATTTAGTAGAAACATGAAATGAAAAGCAATGTATGTGTAAGTGGTGTCGATAAGGGAAAACACGAGTCATGTTTGTGAGATCAGTTTCAAGTTCCTGCAATCAGACCACCTCCCAAAAATGACCAGTTGAGCTCAGTCTTAAGAGTGCTTGCATTGTAAGAGGTTCTATTATACATTTTGATGATTTGGACTAACTGATTTCGTTAACAAAAACGTAACTGGTCAGTTATAAATTTTGTATCCATTTCATGAATTTTTTACAGAAAAACTCTATCTTTTATGATTACTAATGAAAATTTATTAACCATAGACTTACATGATCTTTTTATATTTCAAAGCTTCTTCCAAGTTCTTATTGGTAATATGAAGTTCCATTATTTGAGCATACATCGCAGGAGTAAAGGAGAAGTTTTCCTCCTCAAGCTCGGTAATTATTTGTTGAACTCGATCAACATTCTACAGTGAAATGACAGATAGTGACAATGTATTTTTCTCCAAAAGGTAAAAAGATGTTTTCTTTAAATCATAGAATAATTTATCAAAGTTTTTTAATTGTGTAAAGCACTATTCTTTTACTGTCTGTTAATAGATCCAAAAATAACTAATTTTCAATGAAAACAACATTAAGTAATTAGATATAGTACAAAGACATAATTAACAAAATCAATTGTATTTTACGACTTACTCGATTAGCACATTATTATTCACACACACACACTTCACAATTATCTATATTACATCAAAAGTATAAAGGCAATTACTTAGTACCACACAAGTCTAACAAGATAATTACATAAAAATACAACATTTTCATTATGGATGTATACGCCTAGAAATACATAATCATACCAGCAAAGCTATAGCAAAACATTTGTGTAAAACGATCTATGTAGTGGGTAGAAGTGATGGCCTGCATTAACTTTCTGTGGCATTCAACTAAACGTGATCTTCTGATGCACCAATACCATGTGTGCTGTATTTAATAGTCACATTTTGACAAATATAGCAAACTGTTACACTAGGAATACGGATTTTGTGGAAAAATTCATAAAGCACATGTCACGCTTTCACCCTGCACCTCATCACCCTTCATGTTTTTAATTCGATTTTGACACCTTTATCCATCCATGTCCACCTCCAAGACTCTCTACAATTTTTATTGATTTCTTGAACCTTATGGTGGTCCTTGTCATCAATTATTTTCAAAACTTGATCCATTTTAGCAAATACTATTAATGCTTGAAAAGTTACAACACTGTTTACTTTGTAATAAACCTAGATCAGAAATGATTAAGAATTGAATTTATTCTAAAAATCATCAGCAAAGCAAACTCATGAGCTTGTACAATTTAGTAAAAGACTGTAAAAAATATATCAAAATATAAAAATGAACCAAGTTGAGGACTCACCAAGCCTCAGAGCACACCTATTTGAAATTTTCACCCATGCATGTACACGATTCACAGGAAACTCTAATATTTAAAAAAACCAGGAAAAAACATACTAAAATGACAACTTGAGTACTAAACTACACTTAGAAGAGCTAAAAAGATAGTTTGAAAATATATTCCCTATAGCATAACAATCAGTTTTTATTGTGCTGAATATACTTTCTTGAAATATAAATACTAAAATCTAGTTAAGCTTCATTTGGAATACTGTGTAAAGTTTCAGTCTACTTATCTAAGAAAGGATATTGCTTTATTAGAAAGAGTTCAGAAAAGAGTTACTAGGATGATTCCTGGGGATGAAAGGGTTATCATAAAGAATAGTTTAATGTCAACTTGTTTTCTTTTGTTAAAGTGACTGAATGTTGAATTATTTTCTTCTTTAACATTTCTACAAGCTAGAAAACTTGTAAATTGCCATGAACTGTCGTAGGCCTCAGGGATAAAAGTAATGAAATAAAATTACATTCACTCAAAAGAAAGCTATCAGCAAGATTATATTCCCTCACGTAAATTTGCATTTCTTTATGAATTGTTTTTTTTATATTTAATCCATGCAATATGTTCACTTTCACTGGTTATAACTAAAGGAATACAGCTGAACCATGCATTCCTGATCAGGAAAGTCAACTAAAAATATGAAATTCATCAAGGAAAATTAAATTCTGTTGGAATGCAGGAATATAATATTTCGATCCCTGACTGGTATCATACACCACCCTTCATTTCTAACAAAGAACATCACCCAGACTTCACTCTTGTCTAACTACTGTCTAATTTAATATATGATATTAAATTAGAAACTATATAGTCCTCCTGTATAGATCAAATACTAATATCCTCCCTCCTCTTCCTCCCTTAAATCTATTATAACTCGATGATATAAATAATTAACCAATATAATTCTAGCAGTCATAGCTCTAATAATACAACTACACATTAATGCATGTTATAATTCCAGTGATATAATAATAAAGGATGTTATAAACTATACACCCACCTATACAGTTCTTGTACTTTTATCTCCTCCCTTAACAAGAACCTCATCTTTCAAGCAAACCTGGTTAAACTAAGCCAGGCCCCATTACCTGAAGTTAGCCTTTCTAACCCAGATGCATGGAAAGTTATATTATGAATACCCCCAGTCTTTATATTAAGATCTTAAATACTTGTGTCCTTTAAAAAACTGGTATTTCAAGTTAGAAATAATTGCATTCAAGTTGTTCATAAAATATTATACTAAGTTATAAATTTATTATAAAATAAGTTAAAGACTAAAACTGTACTTTTGTATAAATGGTATAACTTTACATTGTTTTGCTACAGCTTTGGTGATGCAATCATGTAACTGCTGGCATATAAATCCATGATAGAAATGTTATATCTTTATATAGATATATTTTATATGTACCTTAAGTATGCTGTGCATAACTTCCAAAGAAACTTTAAGGTTATTAAACAAAGTAAGTTAAGAATTTTTCACAAATATATGTACTCTGTAGGATTTTTAATGTTCATGTTAAAGACTTTAAATTAGGTTTTGATCTGAAACATTAGTCATAATAAGGTTGCTTTTTTGTAACTCAAACTATTTTTATAAAATATTAAAAAGTTCTATATTTCACATCAATTTTAAACTTAATTTTATTACTTTTTAAAAAGTGTTTGGTTGTTTTCTAGGTTTATATGCTGAAGAGTAGCCTGTGATGCTACAAGACTGGTTAAATGTAGAAGAGTTTGATAAATAAGGAACAATTTGTTAGAAAAGGAAAGATTCAAGTTTTCTTGTACATATTCATCTTGAAGTGAAATCACCTTGAATTACAGTTTATTATACACGCACATGTCCACAACAAATAAGGCAAATATTAATGTGAATATTACAGTTTTACTTGAAAACACAAACAAAAAATAATTCATATTAAACTTAACTAGCAAACTAAAAAAATAAATAAAAACATAGGCACAATAACACTTTGAAAATCTTTTGTAAAGATTTTTACTATCCAAACCTGTTTATCTACAAGCACATAAAGAAATAATCATTGAGATTTAAAATGAATTAAAAAACTTGCCTTTTTTCGACAGTGTAGCAACAAGAGGCGCCGAAGTACACCTCTGGTGTTCATTCCTTTACTCTGAAACAGATTATCATCCAAATGTTTAAACATTCCTTCAGTGTAATTTTTGAATGCGAGTAGTCTTAATTAAATAAATGATTCAGACTTAATAATTTTTTACATGATAAATATAATTAACAAAGATTCTGTTAACTCTGTGTCATCAGTTTGATTATTCAAATTTGTAATGCTATTACATTTTACTAGTGAACAATGTACATTACATATCCCAATACGTTAAAGTAACAGTGTTTACTCTTATTTCTGCTCCTGAATATGTCACACATTAAATTATAATATTCCTAAGTTTTACCAACTATTGATAACTCACAATACTGAAGCTTTATAGACTGTCAACAAAATATTTCAAATTTTATATATACACCACCATCTTATTTTCATATAAATTAAAAATACATTTATTCTTTAAAATTATAAGTTCCCATCTCTTTCCAGCATGTTCTTTTTGTCACTACTCAAGCACTATTCTAAACCTAAACTTACACTTGCAATGCTATGCTATACCTTATTAACTGTAGAGCAATGAATTATCGGCCATAATTGGCTAACTATGCATAAACTTTTCTCATCACCTTCTTTCGCCAGAATCTTACATAACTGTGAAGCATTTAAAGTGTGCATAATTAGGTACACTTGATTTATTGTTGGTCACCATATTTGCACATTCTTTTATGAGTGTTTCTAGCAACACACAAGAGTAGATGCAATATATCTAAAACTGCATTTATGACAATCCAATTCATACATTAGACATTTTTAACAAAACCCCCCAAAAATATCTGATTTTAAGTTTAAAGGTAGTTCAAGTCAGTATGAGAATAAGCAGCTTTTAAAACT